GATTCACGCCTACTATCGCGCTTGACTCAATTTTCCGTCTCTATTTCTGTCTGCTATACCATTCCGATTAATTGTCTGGCGCACTTATATACAAGAATAGAGGGCGCCTAGCAAATACTGAATTATTCGCGATGTTCCACGATCTTTCTAGAACGCATTAAGTGATACCTGCGTCAAGTGACTTCCACTGTCGTAACAATAATTTTAGTTGACATGTATTTTCCTTGTTATAAAGATTTGCTACAAGATCTGCTGTAAAACATAAAATTCGCTTAGCTCTGCCATATTAATATGAACTTTCGTGTTTGAAAGAGGAGCGAGATATATTAATCAGCTTTGTTTAAATTCCAATTCTCCTCCTCCTCCCTGAATTAGAGATCCTAAAATCAAACATCCATTCACAGGAACCTATTTCAGCATGATTGCAGTTGTGTTTTATTTTTGATGGTCTTATTATGAAGATAAGACTTTCAATGCATAACTTAAATCGTAATTATTACCACGTATTTTCTAATTTCTCCCGCTAATATTGGTATTATTGCAAAGTGTTGATGCAGCTATAGATTTTCAAGTGATTGCAGAACTTCTTTTGGTACTGATTAAATGGTGAATCTGCTTATAATATCAGCATCACCATGAAGAAATTTGTCTAATTTGAATACTAGTTTTTAGTCATAAGCTGAAATTGTGTATCATTCTTGGTGCAGCCATCAAGGAACAGGTTTAATTTAGTATAGCAATGATTTGTGGATTGTAATAATCATAAGTAACGGAATTGTTTGGCACTAAGACCCCCTCTAATTTACCTGACTGTAATATTTTTCTCATGAACTTACTGGATAAATTGCTACTATATTATATTGTAGCAGTTTTGCAGAGTTAAAAGCTTGTGATAAGTCTTTTCTGAGCCATTTATGCAAAGGGTGCTGTACTTTCAGCAACCCAAGGAAAATCCTCTTATTAAATCAGATTTATTAATGCAAAAAATAATCCGAATTAACTGATGTTTTTCAGGTGCAGAATTATTCATGGTTGTCAATCCTGTGGCCTAGAATATGATATCTTTAACAGAGAAAGAATATTTTTCACACTGAACTCAGAAGTAATTATTCCTTGACTCGTTTAAGAATCTTTCTCAAATTTTAATTTTGGCCTGTCACCTAACTAATATCAACGTATATGAACTACAAGGTTTATGCAAAGTTACTCTCTACTTGATAGTGAGTATTATACGTCAATCTTTACTACCTGGTTGGCCATGTGGACTTGTAGTTATCACATAGACACAGAATGTCTTAAACCTGCTGGAGGACTGGCATAATCAGTGCTAACTCAAAATAAACCTATTTTAGTTGGGTACATTCAGCCTCCACTTTTCTTTAACTGCATAAAGAACAGTTGTAATTCTAATGAAGGTTCAGCAAATTTCTCAATTATTAGTTTTGTAACTATTCTTTGAGAATTCCTAAGTTGCAACTTAAAACATCATCATTATGTTGTAAGCTTCGTTATTTAATTTAGATGTTGACTTATGATGGAGACTTATGTTGTTGTTTGGGCAAAGGAGTTTGATAAAGTGTGATGAGCGTGGCTTAACGACTAGGACGTTTTTGAAAGGTTAAAAAACGATTTGAGCCAAATAAAAGGTGATTTGGGCTAGATTAGGCTGACTCTTTAGTCTATTAGAATTAATTTACATTGAGTCTCGGGTAGGGAAATGTTATTTGAGTGAGTTTTGTTAGTTAGTTCAGTGCTGTGATTATTGAGTTTGTGGTTGAACAAAGTAATAAGAGTGTCAGTTTTATGGGGGCCGGGATTCTTTACAGTAGGTGTATGTGACTTGTTGGCGATAAATTTCAACAATAAACGGACAGCACACAATCCACTTGTTTTAAAATAATATATTAAAAAAGTCAAACGTATGTACAAAAATTCATTACACTATTGGTTATTCACAGTTGTACCCAGAGCTTTAAATAATTCTCTTTTTCGTCAAAGTTCACATAGGAAGATACAGTTACTTTAGACCACCTTCTCACAAGACAAATTATTCTCCTCTATTTCTGTTATTACAAGCTGTGAAACTTCAAATATTGTCCATTACGGCTAAACTAACAAACAGTCTAACTTCACTTTCATTAACTCACTTTAACGTCGTCTTGCACTCTCTCTGCACGCATTTATAACATGCAACAGAAATATCTAGCCCTCTAGTGACAACAATATTCACATAACAAGGAAACTTTGAAGCTTCGAGTAAGATGACGTCAACAGTATTACAAAAGTTTAATGCAACAATTAAACTGCATACACAAATTACGACTCGTACAGAGTTACGTAACGAAACTTGTCGTAACTATCGCTTTTAAAATAATTACCTTTTAACACTTGTTATAAAAACTAAATAATAATTAAATATTGAATCACTAAATAATAACTCTTAAGCTAAACAGTCTTGTATATCCGACAAAGAGATACATCATACATTTTGTAAAGTGAGAGAATTACCAATTGATATGGTTGTATTAGCGTCTGCCATGAACTTAGGCTTATCAGTTGAACATTAGCAAAGATAACTTGACGTTCAAGAAATAAAATGCTTTCCTTATCATTAAGGTGGACTGGTTTGCATTATTCGGTTTATCTAGAATCTGCTCAAAAGTATAAACCATTACAACACTGGTGTCAGGAGAGGGATATTTTGGTAAGAATAAAATATGATACAGACTAAACTTCAAAATGATAACGTGGTTTAATCGAGATAAAAAACTTTCTGGAAATGATGAAACAGTGGAAAGAGGATCAAGAAGTACGAGAAAGAAAATAAGATGAATGAGGGAGAGAGAGAGAAATTACAATAATGAGGCAGGAAAAAGAAAAACTTGATCGAAAACAAGATATGGAAGCTAGGGAAATGTATAGAAGGATTATAACAATAAAATCAAAGATGTACAAAAGGACATCAATGAAGTAAAAAGGAAAGTACAAAACAACAACAATGAAATGCAGAAGGATTATAGTATCAAGGTTGAATGCACCACAGGAAATGTACAAAAAAGACATCTAGAAACTAAACTGGCATATGCAAATATTAAACCAATCACACTTCCTTCTGCATCTACTTAAGAATTTAAACCTCAAACATCATTAACGGTATCATATGGAATAGGCAAACCCATCTATTCTACACCTGTTACCACTACTGTTGTGTTATCTATAAATATCTGCATGACCTTCCGAGATTATCCCACTACTATGCCATCCAGCTATTAGAATAATGTTACGACAGTCGGGGTCACGTGACGATTATTCTAGAAGATTCGCTAGTGTGTTACGACAGCGGAAGTCAAGTGAC